TGGACTGGTGAAACCTTGCAAAAAAATCGGCTGATGGTAGACTGTGACACTTTGAAATGTGTGACAACATCAGTTAGACTTTAAGATAAGATAAGAAACATCTTTATTGTCCAGATCCTGGACTTTCTCCGGCTTGCAAGCGTCCAATAGCCTGGTTTCGCTCTTCCATCGTTAGTCGTGGCATGGCATATCGCTGAACTGACAAACCATTTTTTCGGCCATTATTATAGAGCCGCCCAGTGACTGAACTCACACGCCAAATTTCATTCGAGTACTCTCAAAATTAGACAAGTTGTGAGCTTTTTAACACTCAATTATCACACAATCCATCAGTTTAGGCTGTGCCTACCTGTGACTGTGAGTAAACAATGAATTTTGTTGTGAAAAGTTCAAGATATGTGTGAAAAAAACTAGCATGCACAAAACCTCATCTTTACATATTTTATTATCACGAAACCACAAGCACTTGGTTAAGCTTTTCTTTTTTTGAAAAGTATAGATAACAATTTTCTCCCCTCTTGGGAATCAACACTTGTTCTCCTGCTTATGAAAGCGAAGCTCTTAACCGCTACACCACAGACGCTTGTTCTCTTCCTCTGTATCCTTCTGTTCTTTGGTAGTATGCTCTTTCATTGGATGCCTCACTTTTTGCAGATATAAAGAATGTATACTTTTGCTCAAGACTGTTGGCATTTGGGAATTAGATTCAAAATCACTCAAGTCAGGCACGAATAATTTAAACACATCGGGGGATGACAAACGTCTTCCACACATCCATAATTCCGGTTAAGGGCTAAAGGTGATGAAAAATTGAAGAGATATCAATCAGGGAATGGCAATTTGTACGAGCTATTCGTGGTTTTCAGTTTTCAGTGTTCGTGTTTTCAGTGCCCAACTACATTCATTTTTTCGGGGTGAAATGTGATTTTTTAAAAATAAAATGGATTTATTGTTGCTTGTTTTACAGTTCGTTAGATGCGCCTAGTCGTGCTGGTCAAGAAAGCATATACTTTTGTACACTTTTGACTTAAAACATTAATGTTATGTCACTTTTAAGTCAAAATCAGTTGCGCGTTTCGTCACTGGCGGCCATATTGGCGGCCACATTTGGTCACATGACTTTGCACATTACGTAATACATTGTTTATCATGTAGGCAATTGCATAACCTTTCTGGAAATGTATGATTATCATATGTTTTACAGGCAACTTTTCTTTGAACTAAGGAAAACTGTTGCTAAGTTGTCTTTCTCATGCCTCATACTCATGTCGCATATTTTGGTGCCATCCTCTTGTCTATATACGTAAGTAATTAATTATCCCCGAAAAATGCCCAAATTCACAACAAAAAACTTGCATAACTTTTGAACCGTTTATCCAATCTTCATGCAATTTTTTTTTCCTCAGCTCCTTTAGCGCTATCTAGTGACATATATTTTGGTCAAATTAAACATTTTTAATTTTTTTGTGTGTGACTTTCATTCAAATTTTTTTTTTAAGGAAAACAACACCTGTGAAGACTTCTGTCCACTGCAGCATCATATCGGTTTTTTACACTTAAACACAACACAGGTGGAAGGCATTTTTACTAATTGGCTTGCCTAATCTCAAGGACCTCGGAATAAAACCTTTTTTCTTATCTCTAAATTTCATTTCAGTGCGTGAGTCGGGCAACGCGCAGCGCAGGTAGACCATAGTACCGCTGCGAGAGAGGGCTCCTATCACTATCAGGCGCGCGGTGCCGCCCACAGAGCATCCTCCATTACTGTAACCTCCTTGATTAAGAGTAAAATTCTAATTTACCGTTCAGGCCCTAATTACGCCATAAGCGTGACGTCGGAAGGCCAATGCCTATTATCCAAAAAAAAGTAATCATCAGTGGGGTTAAAACCAAAGATAGTACCAAAGATAGGCTAGTACATAACAAGATGGTCCACTCATCCAAAAAAGTATCCGCCAGAAGTTCGCTCTTTGCTTCAGATGGCGCAGCAGTCGGACTCGAGTCCGAATAACATTTTTCCATATTCGGACTCAAGTCCGAATTTTAAAAATTCCTCTTCGGACTCGAGTCCGAATATGAAAAAACGTTATTGGGACTCGGGTCCGCAAAAAAGAAAATGTCTTCGTTCTATAGATCTAACGTTCAGTGCTTTCAATTTTCCGCCATTTTTTAGTTTCTCCCACACCTTATCTGCCGATTCGATGCCCACCGCCTCATTGATATGCCCCCCCCCCCCCCCCCCTTCCCCGACACGCACACACAGCTACACGTGTTACTGGCCGCCAAGGAGTTTAGAACTAGTTTACTTTTAATCTCCTTGCTGGCCGCCCATCCGACCCCGACACACGCTAACGAGCCATCTTTAATTGCGTCTGATGACCTCTTGACAAATAAACGTTAATTAGAAGCGCTATAACTTTTCAGGCCGGCCTCAAATTCATGATAAGATAAAAACTCGGCTCTTGCACAAAACGCCATTTTGCCCGAAGTGATCCCGGTCTCTCCCCAGCCTGAGGCGAGTCACGAGTGAGGCAGGACAGGAAGCCGGAGTCACAGGAAGTCGGAAGTGATGTCACGCTGGACAAGAATCAGAGTCCGAGTAACATTTTTTCATATTCGGACTCGAGTCCGAATAGTCACTTTGTTTGAAGCTCCTAAGCCCCATTTAGACGTACAATTCGCTGATCGACAAACTGTAGGATATCGAGAGGATGGCGGGCATCCTGTCAATTTCACGTGGAAACTGAGCAATCCTCTCGATATCGAAGGGTTCTCTTTCCAACCACCAGATATCTGGCGACGCCAGATATTTGCCGGCCGGCGAACCGAAGGAGTGATGACGACGGAGCGGCTTCTTTGATGTTACCCCAGGCGTAGTTGAAAATACATTCCAAAAATTTCTTAAATATTCGTCAAATCAAAAAAATAATAAGATTTTCGTGATCAGCGACCCAAAATTAGTAAAATTCACGCGGGGAACGCAATTTAATACCGGATTACCAAGTTAAATTATGTTTGTGTGTTTGCTTTTGAATTACCATTCGCCCGCCCCTTCACTTTCAAAAGTGAAGGCAAAAAATTAATGTACCGCATGGTGTGTGTGTAGTATACTGTAGGCTTGGGCAGAATTGAAAAAAAGTAGGACTTTCAAGTCTCAAGTCCTAAAACCTACCTTGAGACCCGCAAGTCTCAAGCCCAATTTCAAGTCCAGGGGACGTAATAAAGTATAGGCCTACACCTTAGCCTACATGTAACATGAATAGTCTTTTTGATAGTAAAGCCATCAGCATTACTTCTCTTTATCGTTATCATTATTTTGTTGTTTTCCAACCACCTATGTTGAGACGTATGGAACATCTTTGTGATACTTGTTTGGTTGATTTTTTTTATTTTAAAAAAAAATTTCTTCGCTTGTTTGTTTTTTGTTCTGTTCTCTGTTGTATTAATAAACTCAGGAGTTGCTTCAGCCTTGGGGGGCAATGATGGCATTGAAGCCTTATCCGGGCCTAGGCCTGCCTACCCCTTATCGAGGAAGTGGACTCAACCAATACGCCAAGGGCGAGCAAATCTCCGCAAGTAATAGGGGTGGTACTGCCTACCCCTTATCGAAGAAATGGACTCAACCAATCCGCCTTGGACGAGCAAGTCCGAGCAAGTAGCAGGGGTGGTAGGTGTATTTGAATTCAAACAATCAAACTGAAAGCACTAAATTAATAAGAAACATGCCGATTTTTAGCATTTCTTTAGACATTGGTTCACTGAGTCTTTACTCAATGTTTGTAGATCTACTGTGCGTTAAAATAATTGTATCTTTTGATTGAGGAATAGATCTATTTTGCTGGGCCACGCAAGACTTGAACTTGCTCAGTTCTAAATACTTGGTCTCAAACACTACTTGATAGGCAGGCATGAGAATTTCAAGTCTTAAGTCCAAGTCCAAGTCCTGCCCAGGCCTAGTATACTGCCGAGTTGTGTTGGGAGTCAGCTGAGGGCTACACACCATTGTTTCATCTAGCTAGACGGTGCTGTTTATTTTAATTTTTTGTTGTCTACGTGCTACCAGTTTTACTATTGCACTAATGTCCGTGTGGACACTGGGCGCTTTTTCGGTAGTTCCCACCCCGTTAATTGGACCTAGATCTAGATCTAGATCTAGATCTAGATCCAGATCCAGGTCAGAGAGGGTGATTCAGATCTAGATTTAGATCAGAAAGCTATGTTTGATGCGCAGCGAG